TTGGATGTTCTCCCGTATACTAGGCAGGCTATGCTATAATCAACTAGTTTACCGGTTTAAGTAAACTGCGTCCTTGGGAATGGGGCCAGAGAGTGAGTTCGACGGGTCAACGTATTTTCCCCACTCTAAACAATCTAACAGGCTTGGAGAGAGAGAGAGAGTGCAGTAGATGTAGCGCAAGCCTGCTTTCACCACTATTTAATTCAGGCGCAAGTCAGGGCCTCTTGCCCATCTTGCTGTGGAGCCCACAGTGGACCTCGTCGGATACGACAATGGAACTGTTGTAGACTGTATCCACAACCAGTACAGAGTTCACTGTTAAAAATTCTGATGCTGCAGCAAAAACCGGAGAAGCAGCATCTTTTCCGTCACAAGAGAAGAGAGTAACCACTAGCTGTGCATGCATGCGTTAACTTGTAGCAACTACTCCAATTGCTCTCCCCATACCTCTGGTATTCACATAGAAAACACGGTCAAAACGATTGGATGGACATGAACACAGTGAGTGAAGAGAAGACACTCGCTAACGCGTGTCATACACGTACTGGCTCTTTACTTAATAAGAACCAGACTTCGAAAGATTCCACGCTACTTTAAAGACAACATTATAGAGGAGAGCTACTTTATCCCTCTAGTTGGTCCCGCAAAACAAGACAAATTAATTATCTAAAGAATGAGGGCTTTTAATCGACCTCTCTACTAATGTGTCCAATTGACATTCAACTGCTGTATGGCCCACTTAAAGGCTGTTCGCAGGCCTGGGTACTGGAGAACGCGATGGAACGCCCAAGAGGTGGGTAAAATGTTCCAGGCTTCAAGAAATATCACTCAAGCGAAAGAAAATATAGTAGGACACGGGAATATGGTTCCCCATCGTATAGGAGATCGAATTGTGCTAAATTGTAGGAAGGGTAGGTTTGGGATAGGAGAGTAGGTAACCGCCCGGAATTTCGTGTGAAGTCACCTGTAATAGGAGTCGGAGAGGGGAATTAATATCTCCCTGTCCGATCCAAAGTACTGCTGACTAAAGTGTCGAAAATGAAAGATGAAAAGCGCGAAAAGGAGTGAAACAAAGATTAGCGTAAGAAAAACAAGTTGATACCTTCGTCTTCGTCGGATGCCTCGTCTCTGGGTACAGAAATTTTCGGCGCTTTGCCAAGGCGTTTTGCTTTACGCCTAGACAGGTAGTAGTCATCACTGTCCTCTTCCTCTGCATCAGAAGCGTTCGCCTCATCGGGTTCGAAGTCGGCTAAACGAGAAAGAGATATGGAGCGTAAATCACAAGAAAAGTCAAAAATCATGAAGTCTAAAAATGGACCCGAGTATGGATGAAATATCTTTTCATTTGAGTTGATGAAAAGACGTCGAACGGGCCTTACAGGCTGCCGTCGATCGAATGGAAACTGTGAATTTGGAATACACGAGCCCCGATTAACCCCCTTGAGAAAAAATGGTACGAAATCAACCGGAACAATGAAAGTTCACCAGAGATAAGTGTTAATGCGGAAGCTGGTATCCGAGAGAGAGAGTAGTTGTTGCCAAAACGACTCTGTACAAAAATGCCGGAATTCTCCCATAGCAAAATAGCCTGTCAATCAAGAAAAAAACGGCTGATGGGCTTCGGGCACATTCTTCATCGCCAATCACACAAGTAGAGCGTTAATGCCGTTAACGTAGGAGTGACAGAGGGGTCAAGTTAAAGTTGAACTCGACAAATCTCATCAACACACGAAAGTGACTCTCGAAACCTCGATACTAGACATTGGTTGTCGAGAAAATTACGCTGAGCTCAGAAGGCGTACTGCCGTTGGTTTTCGCGCGTGGCGAGGCACTGGTCGCGAAATCGCTCAGACCGGGTACACACTATGCAAGGCTATAGGATGTACGAAGCATAAAAGTTTAAAAAGAAATATTCCGTTTTAAAGATAGCACCCGTATGATATGCGAAGTTGGGTGAAGGCCGCTAAAAAAGGTACTCGAGGAATGGAAGCGCCTGCAGAGCACGTCGAAGTCAGGACGAAAGGTGAGCGAGATGACTTTTAAACGTAGAAAGGCGCTAATCATATAGAAACGGCGATGCTGTTTAACCGCTAAGGTCATTGCACTTAGTTGCAGCCACTACTCAGCCCGCATATACACAAGACTTTGTACCATGAGCAGTTGTTCAACCACTAATTACAGAAATTCACCTTCAAGCTTCCCTACGACCACTAACCAAACAAGTTTACTGCATTACGCTCCTGTGTGATATCATAGTTACAAAAATTAGCCGGCGTAGGTCGTGAAAAGCGATTGCCGACCCAAGACAAAAAATCATTCTAAATACACTGACTAGACAACTTACGGTTGAGTTGCATTCTTTCCGACATTCGGGCTGATATAGCGGATGCTCGCGCTGTTACGTC